TGGTGCCCTTAGGAACCCCTCTTTCTTTACATGTATGACATTATAAAATGGCACGTGTAATGCACAAATTTCTGTATGTGCAGTACAGAGTGGAAGGTTACACTTGGGGCTTATATGCTCTGAACGATAAAGTCTTTTATACAATAGACATTGTGGATTGCATGACTCCTATTAGGAGCATTTGAAGCCCAGTGCTGTAATGTGCAAATTCATACTTATACATTAGAAAATGAAAAGGAAAAATGTGATTCTGAGCTGTAAATGCACAAACCAGCATTGAGTATGTCTAGGTTTCACTTTGCATAAATGCCGACCATTATTTTCTCCTTACAATCAAATATCTCGGATCTCACCTACATCTTTTATTAAATGGGTAGAAAAAGAGAAAACAAAGCGTAGCTTTATTCGTAGGCAATTGAAAAGAATTAAATATTTGTATTACAGATACCATCATTCAGAATCTCGCTTTTACATGCCAGAAGAGGAATGTCAAAAATCTGAATATTCGAAATAGACATTTTTTCCTTTCAGTCATTTTCAGTAAAAGAGGCCCTGCTACTGCACTGTACTTATTACTGCTAAAACTGCCTCTGACCTGCACCATACAGAGCTTCTGGGGCTGGCTGATTAGAGAGAATATCAGCCTTCCAGTATCAAAGTGAAAGAAAATCTCTATTGACCATAGCAATTAGCAACCTGTCAGTCTCTCCGTTTCATTTTTGAAGCTACACTGAACAGATAAAAAGGCGGGTATGATCAGTTGTTATAGGTGACTTTATCATTTAACTTGCTAGCAATCATCAGGTCTCAGGATATATGCAAAAAATATATGTACCTAAGTAAAATCAAACAGTTTAGGATTGACTTACTGCATGTATTTTAGAAATATAATATTGAGCTGATTAAAGCGGAACTAAACTGTATCTGAGCACTGCAATCTGAAAAAGCTATTTAATTTATTTTTAATATTCATAGCAAACTCCCCCATCCATCCATGTCTCCATGATTTATTTTGTTGAGAAATCACTTTGAAAAACACCCCTAGCATTTTTAGATGTGGCCATCTTGAGTAAGGGCAGATGATTCATGTAGCATTTACCTCCGTTAATCCCCCTGCCCTTATCTCAGGCATGCAGGCAGGAGGGTGTGCTTAGCTGAGAAAAGTTGCCCATGAAGATTGCTCGGTACTTGAGGTCTGAGGTTGGGAACCACTGCACTAAAGAAAAAGCACAGCCATTTTAATGAACGTTTCTAAATCGGCCCCCATGCACTGCCAAATACTGTAAAGCATGGCACATAAGTTGCATTTTTTTCTTATTGATACGGTCAAGATGACCGTTCTTACTATGCATGCATATCTTGGTGCCTCTTATATTAAAATAAATCTATTTATTTTGTCTTTATTTCTTAAAGTGGACCCCCCCCATCCTTTTTATGCCCTGCTTACCTGGTTGCAGGTTCTGTACATTTAAGGTACTTACCTACACAGTGGATCCAGCATTGTCCTGCTGAAATCAACTTCTTTTCAACCCTCCACTCGGTCCTGCACTGCCATCTTCTCCAGTCACATCATCAGAAAGCTACCGGCTCATCCGGGTTCAGATGATGCGCTGCCTGGCCCATCCTTCTTTCTCAATGAAGGATTATGCCTCTTGGGATATGCAATGTACATACCCCAGAAGGCACAGTAGGAAAAATGCACATCATTTGCCTAGGCAAATGATGTAAACGGGGGGGGGGGGGGTCAGGCCAGAGCATCTTCATTATAAAAAAATAAATACAAAATGAAAAGAATGCCCGATTTGCACAGCAGAAGGGAGGAGGGGTGGAGAGGAGGCCACATCCTGTTGAGTGTGAAGATCCACTTTAAATGTCTGTCTGTCCCAAAACTTTGTGACCACTTGTTTGAGGACATGATAAAAATGGAAGCATGGATTTGTGGAGGTGGCTACTAAAGGGGGAAAGTTTTTGTGGTGGGGTTTTAAAAGGGTGTGGTCATTAAGGTATCCCTGGACTTAATTAAAAAAATCTGCTCATGTTTTTATAAAGATGTGTCAGCCATGCAAATAAGCATGAAATGTCCCTCATACAAAAATGGAAAGGCTTCCCATAGCGGATAGTGTCCGCATTCCCTTTTTTACCACATAAAAGCTATATCTAATTGGTTGCCAAGAGCAGCAGTTTCATATATGTCTCCTGGTTATGCAATGAGACGATTATAAAGCTGAAAGCGAACATCGAGACATTTTCTCTTCATGGCCTGCTTTTTCCAATCTCCATGTCATTATAGCACAGACTTGCGCACTTGGGTTTATTTGCGATATCTGCATTATTTTTTAATAAGATATGTCACAGGGGGTGCCGCTTTGCATGCGTAGTTTTGCATATCAAAAAAGATAATATCTTGCTGCTTCTGAGCCCAGTAAAACCAGCGCAATTTGAATGGATTTACATCCCAACTCTAACGTTTGTGTGAAAAGTGTTGTATAAGCGTAAAAAACATAACAAACATTTTTTATTTAAAAAGTGGATAAATGTACATGGGGAGGAAAGGAAGCTTGTTTCCCTTGCAAATGCTTCCATTTGTATTGACTTATTAGTTGTTTTACAAAGTGTGTTCAGTTATAGAGGCACAAATCGTGCATTTATTTCTGAGGTAAATAGTAAAACTGCCATTTTCCTGCCTGTGCTAGTATTATAAATGTCCCTCATTACTGGCTCCTCATTTTCTTATACTCGCATCAGAGAGCCCTTACAACAGCTGGAGGAGATGTCCCTGATATTACAGAAAAGGAAGTTCCGTACGCTAATTTTGAGAAATATGAGGGAATTTTGAGGAAAATAGAGCAGTTGTTCATAGCAACAACCTGATTTACTAAGAGCAAGCACAGTTTTTTTAATGTAGGGTGTTGTACGGTCTCCACGGAACAGTTAAATTTCCTTCATAAAATGCAGGAAGTGGGTGGAACATAATTATCCCTCTCCACAGAGCACTGATGTCTCATTCATAAAATGCAGGCCGAGGGGTTGAGCCTGGGTATCCGCTTTCCACAGGACAGTTACAATTCATTCATAAAGTGCAGGATATAGGGTTGAGCCTGATTATTCACACTGCACCGGAATGTGGCATCTCATTCATAAAATGCAGGATGGGGTTGAGCCTGATTATCGCTCTCCACAGGACCATTATATTTCATTCATAAAATGCAGGCTGTGGGGTGATGTCTGATTATTGCTTTCCACAGGACACTGACATTTCATTCATAAAATGCAGGCCAAGGGGTGAAGCCTGATTATTCACTGTCCACGGGACATTTACATTTCATTCGTACAATGCAGCCTGGTTATCTGTTTTCCACAGGACAGTTACAACTCATTCATAAAGTACAGGCCATGGGGTGGAGCATGATTTATCCACATTAGACAGGAAAGTAGCATCTCATTGATAAAATGCAGGAGGGGTTGAGCCTGATTATCTTCTCTCCACGGAACCATTACATTTAATTCATAAAATGCAGTCCGTGGGGTATTCCTGATTATCCACTTTCTACAGGACAGTTACAGCTTATTCATAAAGTACAGACCATGGGGTGGAGCTTGATTATCCACACTACACAGGAAAGTTTCTCATTCATAAAATGCAGGACGGGGTTGAGCCTGATTACACAGAACCATTTCATTTCATTCATAAAATGCAGTCATGCCTGATTATCCACTTTCTACAGGACAGTTACAGTCATTCATAAAGTGCAGGCCATGGGGTGGAGCCTGATCCACACTACACACAAATGTAGCATCTCATTCATAAAATGCAGGACGGGGTTGAGCCTGATTATCCTCTCTCCACAGAACCATTACATTTCATTCATAAAATACAATCCATGGGGTTATGCCTGATTTTCCACTTTCTACAAGACAGTTACATCTCATTCATAAAATGCAGGCCACAAGATTGTGCTCATTTATCCGTTCTCTACAGAACAGTTAGGTCTCATCCGTAAAATTTTGAACCTGCAGGATCCTTCAGAGTATTACAGCAAGAAAAAGAAGAAAGCGGGCGCACCAACCTAGTGCATTATCTTAAGGATTTTTATTGTAAAAAAAAGGTAGCGTTACTGCTCATAAGCATGAAAGGGAAGCACGCTTCAAGCCATACATCCGTAGCTGGATACAACAGTCTTCCAAACCTAGGAAGGACCTCACCGGGGTCCCTGAAGGCTGACGTGTTTCAAAGGATGTCCTTTGAAACGTGTCAGCCTTGAGGACCCCCCTGGTCTGGAAGACTGCTGTATCCAACCACGGATGTATGGCTTGAAGCGTGCTTCTCTTTTATGCTTGTGAGTAGTAACTCAAAAAAAATAGTAGTTTACAAAAAAAATCCTTAAGATACTGCACTAGGTTGGTGTACCCTGTTTCTTCCGTTTCTTCTTGTAGTGATTACGGGACATTCTCAGTCCTTGAGAGCAGCAAGTCCATTGATTGTGATTACTTTCTTCTACACTGACCCAAGACTTATGCACACGAGAATTTGGTTTTGTACTGTTGGTCAGGTTCCTTCAGAGTATTAACATTTCAGAAACCACTTGGGCTAGGTGGAGAGCCCTGTCACATAACCGGTCAAAGTCAGGTGGTGGGTTTCCTTCTCCTCCCACATCTCTTTTATCACATGGCTTTGCTTTCTTGAGAATCCTGAAAAAAGAAAGCTTGAATGCACATGTTCAAAGATTACCAGTGTGATTTATACTTTTTAGGGTATGTTCCCATCAGCCACTGAGTTATAGCTGGTGTGCGATGAGAAGCTATGCATTGGAAGTACTGCCAATGCGCTAATCACTGCGCTTTATTTTAATGAACACTGTGACATTTCATTTAGTTCTTATTGGCATCCACAATTGCCTTGCACTGCTCTGTGCTAGAAAAAAGTATAGTCTGCTATACTTTTTTTCCAGAACACACCACCTGCCCACTACTGTAACACCACACAACTGCAACATGGTAGGAGCAGGGGCGGACTGACCATTTGGAAACTCGGGCACTGCCCGAGGGCTCGGGGTCAGTAGGGGGCCCCATGAGATGCCCCTGGTACCTTTTTCATAGACTTTTTTGAGTTTGGGCAAGGACACAGGGGCCCCATGGTCCCCTATTGCCCGGGGGCCCCATGAGTTGTCAGTCCGCCCCTGGGTAGGAGACAAGGCAGTTTGCCTTGTGTTGTGGTAGGACTGTGGAGGGATAGCTGTCTAACGCAGTCCCACCATACCTGGTGTGAACATACCCTCAAAGGAGAGGTATGGCTGCATTTAAACGTGTTGAGTATGGTGCACTGCACTGAAACACAGGTGCCATTCAAAATGGGTTGTTGTTCAAAATGTGCTTTATTGCAGTGCAGTGGTGTGAATGAGCCCTTTATGTAATCCTGTCTTACAAAAAACTCTGGGACTGACATCAAAAGATTCCTGAAAAAAATGCTAGTGCCAAGCATGTTGATGTCCTTATTGTTCTGGATCAGTGACTATGTATTAAAGCAAGAGGATCAACATGACAGGCTGACAACTAGCATTTTCAGAAGGTCAGCAATGGCAGCCTCTATTTTTCTCTCATGACAGGTTTACTTCATTTATTAAGCTAAATCGAGACCTCTATAAGGCTGCTTTCATACTGATCCATTTTTCTTCTGCTTGTACGTGAAAAAAGCGGATGAAAAATGTGTAACCACGTAATCCTATCAAACTCTTCATACAGATCTCTTGTGGGTCCGTTGCATTTTTAAAAATCGTGCATGCTGCGTTTTTGGTGCAGGTTTGGTGTGGTAGAAACACCGCACCAAAAACGCACCTGCCCTTTGAAGTCAATGGAAAATGTGGCAAAAATGCATCAAAGCGCACCCCAGTATGTAAGAAACGCACTGCAAAGGCAGTATGAATGTGGTAAATAACAAGGCAAAAACTCACATGTGTTTTTGCTATGGATCAGTGTGAAAGTAGCCTAATGACTGGCTGAGAGGAGCCATTGCTGCGTGCATGTATCTGTGCACCCTGTAGATACCTGCTGTTAGGATGGTTGTGTGAGCATGGATGCATCTTTCTCTATTCAGGGTCACTTATCTGTCCCTAACCACAGGTAATTCCTTTGTACAGGCTGAGCAGCCATCACAAGAATCCGCTAAGTCTTGCCGTTAGATCCGGTGTATGCCCACCACAGCCCATGTTAGGCTACTTTCACACTGAACACTGCCACGTTTTTACCGCATTTTACCACGTTTGCGGTGTGTTTTTTGCAGTATATGTGACTCAAAAAGCACACCAAACACACAAAGGAGATGCATTTTTGCTGCTTTTTTAATGCGCTTTCCTTTGATTTCAGTGAGGAAGTATGTTTTTTTTTGCCGCACCAAACGTCCATCAAAAATGCAGCAAGCAGGGTTAAAAAAAAAACGCACTGAACCTGCAATGAATGTGGGAAGAGTTTGATAGGAATACATGGTCGCATGTTTTTCTTCTGCTTTTTTTTAACACAAAAGCTGAAGAAAAATGGATCAGTGCGAAAGCAGCCTTACTTTGTAACTGCCACTGTTCCCATACAGCTGTCATCCCAGTCACTGGAATCCGGTGCATGCACACAATTGCTCATCTGAAGGAGGCCTTAATGCGCATGTTATCATCACACATTGTAGGTGTCAGTGCCTTGCAATGCCATTCATTTTAAATAGCATCCAATTAATTAAAGCAGGGGTCTCCAAACATTATAAACAAAGGGCCAGTTTACTGTCTTTCAGACTTTAAGGGGGCCAGTGGGAGAAGAAAATATCCTGGCATCAGTGGGAGTAAACAATGCCCTATCATTGGTATTAACGGGAGATATAGTGCCCCATCACTGGTATCAATGGGAGGAATAGTGTCCCATTGTTGGCATCAGTGGGAAGAATAGTACCCCATCATTGGTGTCAGTGGGAGGAATAGTACCCCATCATTATTTTTCACAGTGGGAGGAATAATGCCCCATCACTGGTGTCAGTGGGAGGAATAATGCCCCTATTATTGTTGTCAGTGGAAGGAATAGTGCCCCATCATTGGTGTCAGTGGGAGGAATAATGCTCCATCATTGGTGTCAGTGGGAGGAATAGTACCCTATCATTAGTGTCAGTAGGAGGAATAGTTCCCCATCATTGGTGTCAGTGGGAGGAATAATGCCCCTATTATTGTTGTCAGTGGAAGGAATAGTGCCCCATCATTGGTGTCAGTGGGAGGAATAATGCTCCATCATTGGTGTCAGTGGGAGGAATAGTACCCTATCATTAGTGTCAGTAGGAGGAATAGTGCCCCATCATTGGTGTTAGTGGGAGGAATAGTGCCCCATTATTGTTGTCAGTGAAAGGAAGAGTGCTCCATCATTGGTGTCAGGAATAATGCCCCGTTATTGGTGTTAGTGGAAGGAATAGTGCCCCATCATTGGTGTTAGTGGAAGGAATAGTGCCCCATTATTGGTGTTAGTGGAAGGAATGCCCCATTATTGGTGTTAGTGGAAGGAATAATGCCCCATCATTGGTGTCAGTGGGAGGAATAATGCCCCATTATTGGTGTTAGTGGAAGTAATAGTGCCCCATTATTGGTGTTAGTGGAAGGAATAGTGCCCCATCATTGGTGTCAGTGGGAGGAATAATGCCCCATTATTGGTGTTAGTGGAAGGAATAGTGCCCCCTCATTGGTGTTAGTGGAAGGAATAGTGCCCCATTGTTGGAGTCAGTGGCAGGAACTATGCCCCACTGTTGCTGATGATGGTGCAATAATGCTCCAAGGGCCGGATAAAAGTAAGCAAAGGGGCACAGTTTAGAGACCACTGCATTAAAGGATAAGTTCACCTTTCGTAACGTTACATGCTACATCCATATTCAGGGTGTAACGTAAATCCCCCCGCATCCCCCCATCCCTGTTGTGACAGCTAGCTGGGGATCTTCTCCTCCCTGCTAGCTGTCACAATTTTAAAAAAAATGCCGGCTCCGCTGGCCCGACCACGTTATGCATTGATGTTGTTCTATGAATGAACTACAAGTCCCAAAATCCTTTGCGGCTGTTGGCTTGTAGTTCTCAATGAACTACCACAGTTCTGCAGAGCGCCGTGGTAGTTCATTGATTCTTCCCATCAGTATATCTACTTGCTCGTACATCCCGTACGGACAAGCAGATATACTGACAGGTCTGCAGGAGACCTGCATGGCACTAGTGATCTGCTGGTTGCTGGTGCAATGTTTTGAAGGCTCCAGAAACAAAAAAATAATAAATGCACAAATGTGCATTTTTTATTTTTTGTAAAAAAGGTGAACTTATCCTTTAAGGGAACACGTTGGGATGCAGTACGCTATTTCTGTAATGTGGCACAGCACAACATATGGTGGTGAATTACTCTGCATTGTGCTGTAAGGCATTGCAAGAAAATGTATGCATTTTTGGACATTTCAGTGCATTGGCAGCTCATTCATTTGAATGGGCTGCTTTAACAAAACATATGTCAATGAGCTTGTGTTAAGGCAACACACCAGGATGCCAAAGTGTGAATGGACCCCAAATGACTGGGTGAACACAGGGCCATCTTTGTTCATGTTTTAGTACATCAGTCACTTATCTCACTTTCCCATGGGATGACAACACAACACTTTTTAGCTATTGGAAATGCTCCATTTTTGTGCAGGTTTTCTGGTATTACCCCTCCATCCTCTGAGTGCAGCACCTGTCCGCAGGCCATGCCTACACTCCACACTCATATGCTGCAGCTGTGCCTCACCTGTGGGGTCCTCCTGAGGGAAATCTGACTCATGTCCTTCTATGTCTATGAATTCTGCTGTGAAGTGTATGCTGCTGTCTGAAAATACGCTTCAATTTTCACCTCGATATTCCCGGAAGGTTGGTTGCTAAGTACCAGGTACTGTGTAATCGCTGCTGATATGAGAAAATGATTTGTGTTTAGAGGAGAGGTAAAGTAGCTGTTTTCTCACATAGCCGGGGAAATGTATTTCATAACATGACCTGAGAGGTATGCAAAGTGTTATGTTTATTATGTGAGGAAAGCACAGCAGTTCACAGAAGTTTTCTGGCTTGGCTCTGTCCTTTCTATCTTGCTGCAGTTTACTAGTGGGTAGGAATGTGTTAATGGTGAGACCGTCAATAACATCTGAAATTTGTAGTGTGTGGTAGATGCTCATTACAAATACGTCTCGCTGGAGTATGGCAGATTCATATTTGTAAAGTGCATATGAATCTGTGCAGCATTGTCTCAGAAGAAATTTGTAGCATAATTGGCTCAAATATGGAATACTTGTACGTTACCACACAATTTATGGTCTTATTTACCTCCACTTTTACCAATATGGTGGTAATTAACTGCATTCATTTGTCCATTTGATTTGGGGCAAGGCTTCCGACTACATCCAGACCGCTGGAAATGTGTCACAAATGCCTTTGCCTGCATTCATGTCTGAGCAGAGTGAATTTCTGGCAAATTTGAAGCGCTTTATTTAAGGCATTTTACATTATTATACAGGATTTATATGGCGCCAACAGTTTGCTCAGCACTTTACAATATACCGGGAGACAATACAGCAACAATACAGTTCAATACAAGAGGGATAGGAGGGCCCTGCTCCTTGGAGCTTACAATCTAGGAGGGAGGCATGTTTTTTTTACATGTGTATCAAGCTTCAGGAATTTGTTTCTTGGACTGGGAAAGAAGAGGAGGGCAGTTCTATAGAGGAGTTCTTCCGGAGTAAAAATGCTTGTATTGCACATTTACAGGTGTTCCCATTGAATTCTATTCTAATGCTTATATATTAAGCCTAAGGCAACACGAATGTGAACGAGGACAGTAACCCTAGGTTCACATCTGTGCGGGTGGTGCCGCTGCGGAGCCGCAAGAAAATCCGTTCACCCGCACAGAGAAATGCGGACCCATGGGTGGGTGCCATTAGATCTAATGGCACACCACCCGCACTGGGAAACACAACCGTACTGAGAACCGAGGTTCCTGCGTGGGCTGCGTTTTCCAAAGAAGTGCAGAGACTTCTTTGATGCGTGTCAGGGGCATGGGAGTCCATTCAAATGAATGGGCTCTCGTGCCCGTGCAAAACGCGGCCTACACGGCCGCATGGTGTGAACTGGGGGTTAGAATGGGATTTTGCATGTTGAGCATACTCAGACGTAGTCAGGTGTAGGGAAACAAGCATAAAAAAGCACATCCACCTAGCAGGATTGTTTGTTCAAATCCCAGCCACAGCATCACCTGTCTGGAGTTTGCATGTCCTCCCTGTGCCT